ACTTGCAAGGATCCTCCTGCCTCAGCCTGCCGAGGCGTGCGCCACCACGCCCAGCTTTAGCTGTATTCGTTAGAGGCAACCGAGGGGGCTAAACGCTCAACGAACGCCCAGGCCTGCGGGGTCTGGACGTCGGCTCCCAGCTAACCCGGAGGAGAGCTGCCCGGGGTCGGGGGTGGAACTGTGGGCGGGCGGTCTCCTCTTAGCGGAGGCGCGCACAGGAGAGAGTAGCCACAGGAGCCAGACCCACAGGAGCCTCCTCTGCCCCATCCATGTGACTTCCCCTCAGTTTTTCCTCTTGGGCTTCTTTCTAGTTGCGGAATTGAAGCTGATGACAGCCAAGTATCTCTCAGGATTGTTGCGCAGAGAACAGCACAGCTAGTGCTTCAGGGTCCCCAGGGCAGAAGAGACAGAGACCCCGGGGCGGGAGGCGCCCCGGACACACTCCTGGCGTTGGGACAAAGTCGTGCAAGCCGGTCCCTGAGACCGCGGACGAGGCACCGCGTGGGAAGACCAAGGAGACCCTGAAGCGTCCTTGGCTGGGCTGGGCTGGAACACGGCTGTGACGGACAGGCCTATCTGCCAATCAGAGGGGAGCTGACTCTTACCAGCTGCGATGGGGCCACTGGGGTGGAAAAGGCTGTTGGGAAGCGGCAGAGGCGAGGGGACCCCGCGGACGCCGCGCGGGGTGGAGAGGGGCCTGCGCGGCTCTGCGAAGGGCCGGGGGCCCTGCCTTCAAACGGGCCGGGGAATTCCTCGAGCGACTGCCCCCGCACACTCCCAGACCCTCGGGATGCGTCCTCGCTGCGCAGACGCCACCTGTGCGGAGTGGCGGGAGCGGGGTGCCGGCGCCCGCTGCGCCTTCCCGGGGCGGCGGGAGAGGCGGCTAGGTCTGCGCGCTGCTGCCCCCTAGTGGGCAAAGCCTGCCACTTCTCGTAGTCCGCATCCGCAGGCTCGTTGCCGCTGAGCGCCGGGACCGGGCTTGGGGATGGAGCGGGAGACCCCTGTACCCCGGTTTGGGGACACAATGCAAGGGGGATCCCCATGGAGGCACACACACCCTTGGGAAGTTGTTGCCCACATCGCTTTTCCCCTCTGTGTCTCGGTTCCGTCTTCTACTTAATGGGGACAGGAGAACCAACCCCGTGGGGCTACTGCAGTAATTGAGTTGCTGGGTAAGTACTTACCATATTAAAAAGCGCTCAGCGAGTGCTACCTGCGGTTGCTCCAGGGGACAAGTAGAGGTGTGTAACCCTGTCCCCCACCCCCACCCCGCAGTGTGCCTGCCATGCTATTTATAAATTCTTGAGCCACTGTAGTATTTATTTATTTAGTTGTGGTCCTGGGGTTTAACCCAGGACCCTGACGGTGCCAGGCCAGCGCCCTAGCGCTGAGCGGCCCTCAGCCCCACCGCTTTATAAAGAAAAGGTGAAGGCGCTGTGGGCCCATCTCCCCGCGGCTTCAGGGGATGGAGCAAGAGGCTCCCAGCTCCAGCACTTTCTCCCGCCACCTCGGAGTGCGCCATTAGAATGGCTCTAGGTGTGACATCACAGAGCGCCACCCCATAGTAGGGGCAGAGGGGTCATGAGGCTGGGTCAGGGAGTAGCTGTGTGGGTGTGGTTGGCCGGGCTGCAGGCCCCAGAAACAGGTGGGAAACTCACTCCGGAGCAGTGGGAAGGCGGAGGCTGGGGTCAGGGACACTGCCCCGTGCACCCTCCTCCCATCCACCCCATCCCAGCTGGCCTGGGCCTCCCTCGGGAGCTTGGCTGACCCGAGAACACAATGACGGGGTCTCGGGGTCAGCCCCCCGTTGGGGTGGGGGTCAGCTTGGCCGTTGTCACAGATCTCGCCTCGGGTCCTAGCGCCCAGGCCAGTGCGCACCAAGGCTCTGGCCCCAGGAGCGGCGTCTCCAGGCTTCATAGAGAGACCTGACTTCTTTGATTACCCAGACTCGGACCAAGCCAGCCTCCTGGCCGTGGCCCAGTTTATCGGAGAGAGACCGGTGCAGTTTACCCACTCAGGTATGAGCCAGCCTGAGGAAAAGCCTCCCTCCTCCCGGGGCGGGAGCGCTGCCTGACTCTTCCCGCCTGGCAGGTTCCGGCCCCGGGCTGTTCCGTCGCATCCTGGTGGGCATCCTGGTGGTGGCCTTCCTCTACCTCCTCTTCCAGTTCTGCATCCACATGTGAGCCGCCGCACGCCCGGCCCCAGCCCTCTGCCTTTCTTGGGAGTGGAGGGCCCGCATCCTCGGGACGTGGTATGTGAATTCCTGTCTGATCTCTGCACCCCGCAGGAGCTGCCAGAAAGGAGCCTAGAAAACTGCAAGGGCCAGGGACGAGGCCTGCAGGCCCAAGTCTGTCCTCTCCCACTGAGAAATAAAGGTTCTCGACTTGGACTTTGTCTGCACTGCCTGTTCACTGACCAGCAGGCGCGGGCTGTCCCGCCCCCCCCACACCAGGCCCCCACCGCCTCCCTTGGAGGCCTCGAAGGACTGGATGAGGACAGCCTTGCTGGCGTTCACGCGGATCGTCTTTATTAGCAGTCTGTGAAGCACCTCCCAGGGTCCCCTGACCCCAGCTTGGAGGAAGCCTTAGAGGTCTGTAGCACCAGGGACATGCCAGGGCCCGAGGGCAAGGTGTGCAGCCTAAGGGGAAGGGCTGGGCGCCCCCACCTGCCCCGGGGTGCTCAGCTCTGGGAAGGCCTGGGAGGGGGTAGCAGCCACCTCCCCACCCCAACAGATTAGTTACATAAATAAAATAAGTACGATTCCCCACAGAAGAGCTGTGGGGGCAGCCGGGCCTGTGAGGCCCACAGGGAGGGTCGTGGTGTCCCCCCCTCCCAGCTGGCAGGGAGCAGAGGGCTTGCAGCAGAGGGGCTGGGGTGTCCTTAGCAGCGGGGCGACCCCCATGTCCTTCGCCTCCTGGTCCCCTGAGTTCCCTTTCTCTCCCCACAGGCCCTCCAGCCTCAGTGGGCGGGAAGTGCACGCGGTTCCCCTTCCGTCCAATCCAGCATAAAGCGAGCTGCAGCGGGAAGGCGGGAAGGCGGGAAGGCGTCCCAGCCCTGCCCCGGGCACCGTCTGGAGAAGAGGCCCCTCTCCCCGTCGTCCAGCGTCACCGGGCCACATCTTCGGCCTTGAGGGTAGCTGTACCCTCCCCCTTCCCAGCTCATCTGTCAGCCGCGGGGCTGTCAAGGCAAGGGGCCCCTGGCTCCCAACCCCCACCCATCTGCCCCAGAGCCCTGTCCCCAGGGGGGTGCGGGTGGGGAGGGTGCCCGCCCCCCTCAGTCCTGGGTCTGACAGGGCGAGGGTGGCCGGGAGCCCCGGGGCCGGAAGAGGCGGCAGGCCCCTCTGCAGATGAGGAAGAACCAGTAGAGCTGCGGAGCGAGGAGCAGCGCGGCGCCCAGGTTGACGTGGGCCGGGATGGCCGCGGGCACGGCGAGCAGGGGCAGGCCGGCGTGGCGCCCGTAGGCCCAGTACAGGTAGGGGAAGAGCAGCACCCGGCAGCACAGGAAGCTCAGCAGCATCAGGGCGCCGTTGACCTTGTGCAGCAGCGTGTGCTGCTGCTTGTACTGCGGACAGAGCAGGGCGGCGGGGTGGGCACAGAGCAGGCGGCAGGTCCCCTCTGCCACCTCTCTGTAGGCCAAAGGCCCCAGAACCATGGCTACCTGCTCAGCCCCACCCCTCCTAGGGCTCCTCGCATGCCTGGCCTTAGGGATGCATGGAGGTCCCTGCCAGTAGCCGCCCCGCCTGTCCTCCGCTACCCTCTCACCTGGATGAGGATCTTGCCAAGGCAGACAAAGGGGGTGCTGACCTCGGCCATCAACATGCAGCCTAGAAAGAAATCGCCCTTGCCCTGTCGCCACACCTGCAAGGCGGAGAGGAAGGTGAAGAGCGCCACCCCTACCCCACCCCCTCCCCCGTGGGTCCCCTTGGGAGGCGCTTAACCCCGAGAGTCTGGACACGGGTACAGTGGCAAAGGTGGGGGTGCCGCCTCTGTCCCACCCACGGTACCGCAGCCCTTACACCGCAGGGGAGGAGACTGCGGGTCAGAGACGCCCCACCGTGCCAGCTCCAAAACACCTCAGCTCGGAATGCTGCAGCCGGGCCGCGCTGGCTCCAGGCTCACACGAGCTGTGCTCACCCTGCGCCCAGGGAGCCCGGCTCCTGCAGCGCTGGCCTGGCCCCTGGGGAGGGCCAGCTCCGGGAGGACTCACCACGGACAGCGGGAAGCACACCAGCACCATGACGGCATGATGGAGCACCATGAGGAACTCCTTGTGCAGGTAGCCGCGCACCACAGCCCAGGTGCTGCCCAGCGCCCTGGGGCCCCCGTCGTCCCCTCCGTGCCCTTTGACCTGGTGCTTGTGCCAGTGGCAGAGGAACATGGCGTAGATGTCATAGATGAAGTAGGGCACTGCAAACTGCGTGTAGGCAGAGGACAGCCAGTGTCTGCGGGACACAGAAGAAAGGATTGGGAAGACAGGAAAGGCCGGCTCCCAGGTAGGCTGCTCCTAGGCTGGGAAGCGCCGGACACTCCGTGTGAGTCAGAGCTGGACAGTGACCACAGCAGCCCCAGGGGCAAGCGAGTCTCAGGTTACAGATGGTGGGACTCAGGGGTGCAGGGTGACCGCCTGGCCAAGGTCACACAGGTACACATTTAGCAAGTAGTCGGGCTGGGATTCAAATCAGACTTCCAAGCCCACCATGTTCAGCACTCGGGAGGCTGAGGCAGGAGGATTGCTGTGAGTTCAAGACCAGCCTAGGTTAAGAAGTGAGCTCCAGGCCAGCCTGAACTGCATAGCAAGATCCTGTCCCAAAAAGACAAAAAAAAAAGCCCACCATCCACCATGCTATTCTCTCTCTTCCCCGACCCCACCCCACAATCGACCGGGAGAAGAAAGCAAGGACACCCGCAGATCAAAGGGCGGCCACAGAGCGAGGAAGGGCGCTCAGACAAGGTCCAGAGATGGCTCCGGTCAGGACAAACCGGAGCAGAGCACGGCTGGAAGTGGCCCCGTGGCTATACACCAAATGTTCACGTACTACGTGCAGGCTCCTTTCTAACATCTAAATCTTTACACGGCACAAACTCACTCCTCAAGCAAACCCTAGACGAGGTAGGTAAGGTTTTCGTCCCCACTGTACCGACGAGGAACTATCACGCAGAGGGTAGGTATCCTGGCCAGGACACAGCCACAGCCCTCAGTCTGGGCCCTGCTGTCCCTAAAAGATTCAAGACGCACCTGCGATGGGCCCTCCTGGTGAGGGACGGCGCTACCTGTGCTCCTCTGTCTGCCTGGTGGTGGCCCAAGCGCTTGTCTTTTCACATAGAGCTGAGCATTAAGGAGAAAGTGCTGAGTAAAAGGTGCCAAGTACAGAGAAAGTGCTTGGAGAGTAAACAGAAATAAGAATTGCATGAATATGCAACATTGCATTTTTCTCCTTGAGTCAGCACCGTGGCGCTTCCTCTGGAATCCTGTGTCCTGAGGTGGGTCTGGGGGGAGGTCAGGAAGGCGGAGGAGGAAGACAAAGTCAGCTGGAGGCACACTGCGGAGAGAGCGCTGAGGCCAACAGTGAGGGGCCCCGAAGGACGCCAGCGAGGACAGGGTGGGGCATGCAGGCGGCAGAAGGCAGGCCCGGGCAGGCTGGGAAAGAGAATCTGAGCCCCATGGTGCAGTGGTTCTGGAGCACGTAGGGGGGGACAGGAAGAAAGGGGAGAGGCAGCTGGTCAGAAACAAAGGGCAGGAATACAGGGAGGTGACCTCACTGGCTCTTTACTGCAGGTAATGGGCTGGGGATACAGCTCAGTGGCACAAGCACCTGCCTGGCAAGTGCAAGGTCCTGAGTTCAATTCCTGGTACAAAAAAAAACACAAAAATTTGCAGGTAATGACCCAAGAGCCAGCCCAGCACACGGCAGACGTGGGACTGACGGGACCTGGACTGCACAGTGGGATCAGGAGGGGCCCAGTCCTGGGGCTGCCCTGGGGGTGTTAAGTCCCATCCCCAGGCGCTCAGCAATTAGGTACTCAGGAGCAGGGACAGCTGTTGCCCTTGGATTACCCCTGATCCTCCTCACCTACCTGAGGATTAAAGGGAGGGGGTAGAGAATGCAAGAGCCAAAAGGTGACCTCTGGGTAAGAAGGTGGGAGGGAATGGCAGGGAGCCAGGCTCAGCCTGGGCCCAGTGGCAGGGTGGGCAGAAGGCAAGAGGAGGATCTGAAGGGTTCAGCTCTGCGCAGAACACGCTGAGAGCTACTCCAGGCGTCTGCCGCCCTCGGGTCAACTTCTCTCTCTACAGAGAAGAGCAGGGGGCGCTTCTAGGTCAGGGTCATCCAGACAAATCCCCGGCGGCTCAAGGGACGCCAACCTGAGTAGGGGAGCGGAGCCAGAGCCAAGAGCGAGGGGCGCTTCCCGGGCACTTGCGCCAGACCGCGGTCAGCACCATGGACAGGTCCATCCCCGCGCGGGCGCCTCCCGCCCCACCTCTCAGGCCCGGGCCGATTTGGCAAGCGCCAGGCTCTGCAGCAGCTGCCAGTGCCAAATTCCGGCCTCTTCATCATCCCGCCCCTCCCCCACGGCCTGACCCCTCGTGGCCCGGCTCGCGTCATCGCCGTCCTCACCTCCCCTGGGCCACGGAGCTGGGGCCCGACACCCGGACTCTGGAAGGAACCAGGAGGGGGTGCCTGAGTTGGGTGCGGGATAGAAACGGGGTCTGAGGGATGTAGGAGCGGGAGGAGGACGGGAGGAAGTGACATTCAGAGCCCCTTACACTACCAGCGGCCCGGAAGCCTACCAGGAACTGCGTGGAGGATTCTCTTTGATCCCCACTTCTGCTCCCCTGGCTCTGACCTTTGAGGACAGGACAGGATAAATTTATCCTGGAGTGTTGAGTTGCAGTGATTTAAGTGAACTTCCCCGGGCCCAAGCGAAGAGCTTGGAGACCACTGACAGCTCCCCAAAGGCCTGGAGGGCGCAGGGTGCACACCGGGACGGGAGCAGAGGTGGCCTCGCGGCACTTACTGGTCGTCAATGATGTGCTTGCAGGAGGTGGAGACGATGTAGCCGGCGGTGGAGGCCATGATGGCTTGGACAGAGGACACCAGCCTGGGGAGAAAGAGGCAGGGGCGGTGGGAGGGAGGAGACACGCACCTCGGTCCCTCCTGGTCTCTGGCCTGGCCACTGTGCTTTGGGGTCGGTCCTTCCGCAGGGCCATCCCTGCCCACCGCCTCCCAAGGCCAGGCTTCCCTGGGCCTCCCCACCACCCCACCTCGGGGTCCTGGGCCTGCTCTGCCGCTGTGCCTCAGGTCACCCTGCTCCTTGTGGCCTTCATCCTCCCGCCCACTGTGAGACTGAGTCGTGCCCTCTCGGGAGGACACCAGGGAGGTCATCCTGAGGTGGCAGTGCTGGGAATGTGCGGCTGAGGGTGAGCCTCTCCCTGGGGAGGCATGGCGGGCCGCTTGGCCAGGAGGGCAGGGGGTGCTGTGCTGCCTCTGCACCCTGGCCCCTGCCCACAGTGACCCAAACGCCCCGGCCACTTTCCCACTCTGCCACCAAGCTCCTGGCCAGCGCTGGCCCGTACCCCAGAGTCCGCGCCCTGTGCCCCAGCCACCATCCCTGAGTAACCCTGGCCCTCGGCCCGGGCCCCTGCCTGGTCCCCGGCGTCTTTCCTATGGGGATGCTGGAGTCACAGCCGGCTGTGTCGGAGGCTGGGGGAAGGACAGGCGCGCACGCGGAAGGCGAGTAGACCAGATGGCCGGTTTGGCTGCGGTCTCCCGGGAAGGCGAGCGAGGCCGGGGGACGGCCCGGCCCGGCCCGGCCCCGGCGGGGCCTCCCGAGGGCGCCGGTGCCCTGGGGCCCGGGAGGTCCGGGGTCCTCTCCTTCCCCACCAGCCTGAGCGGAGCGCGGCCGGGCGCAGGGCAGGGCTGCCGGTTACCTGGCTGAGACAATGACCGCGTCGGCCTCCTCCCAGCGCAGCTGGGGCAGCCGCTGGAGCGTGTTCTTGGACAGGAGGAAGAGTCCGGGGAACACCACCCCCCCGGCCACCATCGGGGTCAGCATGGCTCGGGCGGCGGGCCGCGGCGGGCCGAGGGGCGCAGGGCGGCCAGGCTG